AGATTATTTGAGATGTTCAAGCAGACACTGGGTAACTGTCTCAAAAGGAATATTGCAAAGACTTCTTGCACGGGGTAGGAGGTTTGATTGGATAGTCCATCCATTTCAAACTCAGAGCATATGATTTATGAATCATAGGTTGGTGATAGTACAATGGAGTGAAATCTGAGCCAATTCCCAGAAATTTAATGGAATGTTAAGATGTTATAGAAGTAGAATGCGGGTACCAAATAATTTGCAAAGGCTCTTTTCCCCACTGATCCAGCCATCCCTCATGTAAGTATTGAAGGCATGTACAAGAGACTATTTTAGGTACCAGATATTCACATATAAATAGAATCCACCTTTTCTACCCTCAGCGTTCTGAAGTGAAGCTATATAAAACGTAGTGGTTTATTAAACCAACACTGAATGAGCCCACTGGCATAAGTTGGAAATTCATCATTTGGCATATTTTTTTCTGGCATAATTTGGACATTCTTTTGCTCAACATATGTTACTTTTTACCCTTGAAGATAGCTTTGTTTGATGTGATAGCCTGAGATAGTGCGGTTCATATAGACAGACCTTCTTTCTATAGCCTACTACATGTGCATGGTATTACGCTGTAACTCTAATTCCACCCTTAATTGACATTAGGGCTGCTTCTGTAAAAGGAATTAAGAAGAGTTGTCTCATAAATATATTCAATGAGAAGGGAACTTTTAAAGGTATGAGAGTTTCTTTTAATGTAACTGTTTCTAATAATTTGTAGAAAAAACACAAAAAGAAGAAAAAAGACAATATCTTTTTTATATGTCTTACTCTTCTTTTGTAACTCACAGCATCTAATTTTCTAGGCAGGTAGCAGGATCTCACCTATCAACTCTTAACAGAACTGAAGGCATTATAAGCTGTTTCTCAAATTAACATTCAGATTCAATTACTTATGATCCATTTTTCTATGGTGAAAGGAATTGGTCACATTAAAATAGGATATGTCATAATCTTCAATAGGCTACCTTGTTTGTATTACTTACATTTACACTAAATATAATTTAACCTTTTCTTTTGACAGAACATTTTCCTATTATCACTCAAAATTTAGGAACAATCTTGACCAAGAAAAATTGCCTGAAATGAGTCCTTGCTTAAATGGAAGAATTAACTTTTAAGTTCTTTACTGATGAGGGCATTTGCTTATATATTTTTAAAGTTTGGAATCAAGTGCATTTTTACTTGAAAAAACTATAAAAAGATAAGAAAAATGATGAGATAATAACTGTAACCCCTTGTGTGGTTTTTATATCTATTCCCAGGTTTATACTTTACAGTGGGGCAGTAATGGCAATCAATCTTATATTAAGACACCTTGGCTTGTATTAACGAATAATTCCCCCCACCCCCTGATTTTCTAGGAGCAAAATAGGATTGCAGAAAGAAGAGGTTTGGGATAATATTTTAAAAATTTGTGCAATATTTTATGGAAAATTGTATTGTCTTCATTGTCTATTAAAAGAGTATAAACCAGGGAGAATAAATTTATGGCTATTGCTTTTTACTCCTCAAGAGACAGGAAAATGAACATTCTGCCTGAACTGCTCTAATATAAGGTCCTTGCAGAACAATTTCATTAAATGGTCTTAGTAGGACAGAGTGATGGTCTCTGCCATTGGTAGGAAAAGTAATGGTCTATTTTTGGATAAATCACATTGTGATCTGAGCAGTGTACAGACATAATAATGTGGTAGCCAAGGGTACTGGTGATGTATGTTTGCTGGTGTCAGTAAATGGGTAGAAAAGCATTGATTGAATGATACTCTTGACATTCAGACTTAATATTTATGTATTGCAGTGTGAAGCAAGTAGAATGATAGTATTCTTGTGTTGCACAACTCTTTTTGGAAAATTATCTCTGTGTTAACTTAAAGCTACACTAGAGTATGCTTATGTTAGAATAGGAAATATTAGAATAAAACTCAAGATCTAGAAAATATTTGGAGATGCCTATATGGGAAATCAAAAATTTTAGTTGATTAGTAGATTATGGCCTGCAATGATCTACTCTTAGGCCTGTTTTAAGTTATAGTCATGTTAGGACATGGAAAGATGTTAACAGGGTCCTCCGTGAAATAAAGCGAGTGTAGATAGCTTTAAATGGAACTCATTTTATTAGTCAATTTATTAGTTAATAAAATGAGTTCCATTTAAAGCTATCTACACTCGCTTTATTTCTTTTACATGAGTTTATCAGCAATAGTATTAAATTTGGGGATCAACAGATATTTGTTTAATTAAAACTGGACTAATATGTTTCTCTTCTCAAAGGCCATGGATAAATAATACAATGTGCTTAATATCTGATTGCCATTGAGGTGATTGATTTGACCTATAAAAGTGAGATGAAACCCATTAAATTATGCATTTTTTTATTAATGACTTTTTATTAATGACCTTTTTGCAAAGAAAATCGTGTAGCGTTTTAAAAGTATATAAAGGTAACACCAATTTTTATCATTAAATTACCTATGGCTAATAGTATTATGCTGATATATTTTGGCAAATCCATTATCTTTTTTGCTGGCCTTTTTACTCAAAATAAAGAACATATTTCTTCAATATCCACTCTTTTTCTTAAGAATTCAAATGGACCTTATATCCACAGGAAACTCCTCTGACTATTGTATAATTTGACAAATTGTTGAGAACTCTGTACATGCAGTAGTAATTTGTCTCTGTATTCCGGACTTGATTTAGCTTTATTCTTTTTCTCATAGGCATTCTGAAATATTTATGACGAAGTGCGTTGGTAATCTGATGTGGGAGTCCTGTGAGAAACAAAAAGAACTAATTACTAGCAAATTTACAACCACCAGCACATCCTTTCAAATTCTGTGCAACTTTTAAAAGAAGTAAAATAATGGATAAAATCATAATATGAACTTAATAATTTAAGAAATTCTATAATTGTTTTATTTCTCAATTCTTGCACGTTTCATCAGTTGATCATTAACCCGATCATGTTAGTTCTGAATTCAAATGTAGTGAACACCTGCTTTGGTTCTAGAGTAATTTATCAAGCAATGTTCAAGATAAGTGGAGTTGGCCTTGATTGCTCAGGTGTTTATGTACAAGGGTTTTCCTGCAAGCATATTTTAGTTGTAACATTCCAGTGAATAATCAGAAGCCAATTTGGGGTAAGTACCTTAGAAATAAATAGCTTTTGAATAAGTATATATGAAATAACATTGTGTATGAGTGTTTAGTAAAGCAAGGAATGGCATTTCAATTTGCTTTGGTGTAAAAATCGTTTGAATTTGTTTAATTAACATATTGCTTTTATTCTCCTTAAATGATTTCACTACAAATCAGAAGACCCAGTTCTTATAGGACTATTCATCAGGTTGTTTAGTTCAGCAGTACTTTGTGCTTTCTGATAATATATGATCCAAAACCCAATGAGGCAAGTGAATTTTTAAAACAAATATTTGTCTGAGGTTATAATTTATTAAGTGCTTAGAAATTTTCTAGAAAAAAATAGATGCTCAAATAATACAAATTTAATTATTAAGATTATTAAAAATATTGAGAAGGAAACTCTAATACTGAGATTCTACCGCAAAGAAAAAGTTACATTTTTAATAATACTGTTCATTATTCTAATATAAACCAAATATATAAAGCTATATCTAATGTATTTCCACTTGATAACTTAAAAGTACTAATACCATTTTGACTATCTACAAGCACATATTTTGATCAGAAGTCTTCTGAGAAATTGAATATATTAGAAGATAATGATACATAGACATTTATTTTGCAAGTAAAACTTCTCTTACTCACTGGTTTTTAACTATTATTGCACTGTCATTTACAAGCTTGTATGCTAAATTAATCCCTAATGAAACATTTGCTTGATATTAATAGCATATGTCTACATCTAAAGTTTACCAACACATTTTCTAACAATTGCCTTGGATTGTTTTTTGAGATTTTTGTCTTTTGCAAATGTATGTCTAAACAAATACAGTTTAACAAAATACATTGAAAGATAATTTGAAATATCTAAATAATAACTCCATAGTTTAGTTTGGAAGAATACTTGACTATTAGTAATCTTTATATATAAATACAGTTGTTCTTAGGGACTCCTACCCATTTGTGGGTCATGGTGGCCCCCTTAATGATCTGCAAAACACTCTAGAAATGTAAGTCTCTACTTAAGGCTGGCAACACACTATTCTGAAGACTTTCATCTTTACCACTAATTAGTGATTACGTTCTGGTAACTTACTGATGGATACGTTTTTAAGGGTTACTAACATGTGTTATTTATAAGGTAAAATTATTGTTACTAAAATTTATGAGGTCTTGGAGTCAACATTCTACCAAATATGTGGTAATATTGCAAAACTAATTCTGCTTGAGGTATAATCAAATGGTTGAATTTCCTGCAATTTTAGTGGAGAGCACTTTAATAGGGTATTATTAATCTTGTGAATTGTTTATGGTTTTCAATTGCTGCTACTCTTATGTTTGTTAGTATTTTTGTCAATTCTTTGATATTATATTTCATTTATTTATATTTTTTCGTTTACAATTTCAACTTTTATTACAGATTAAAAGGTACATGTGCAGGTTTGCTACATGGGTATATGGCCTGACACTAAGGTATAAATGATCAATGATCTCATCACCCAGGTAGTGAGCGTAGTACTTTATCGTATCATTTATATTTGATTGCCATTTTGTCTCAAACTTTGCAGGTTTTCTGCATTGCATTTTTCTTCTTTTGGAAAAGCAGGAAGAGGGCTTTGGGTTATTTTGTCCTAAGAAATAAAGAGCGAGGAAAATTGTAAAATGTTAGCCCAATTACTCAGTTATTTTAGAATAGATTTATTTTCTAATATTATAGGTCTAAAATCACACTGGAGTAAGTCTGTCTTTATTCCATTTCTCCTCTTGATATATAAATTACTGTAGAGTAGACTGCACAGAAGGTTTACCTGATGTCAGTTATCCCACCTAAAAAGCATGAGAAAAGATAGAAAAAACTATTGTATAACTATTGGAGATTCCATTGCCATTGATAACATTCTGACACTGCAGTGTATTTTTTGATTTTTGTTACAAAACTACAAGTAAATGTTCTACTGGTTCTTGAAGATATATAAGAAATACCATTAGCATTTGAACCGTTTTTTCTAAATAGATGATACTTAGAAATCTAATTGGATAGAGTTCACTCGCTCTAGTAAGTTCTATTAAGATAGAAAGCTATAATAGGTAGAAAGTTTTCTGTTGAGCTCTCTATGGAAAATTCTATTTTGAAAATGAATACATTTTGATTTAAACGATACAGAGGAGTCAAAATGGACACAATCTTGTTGTGGAGTCTCCTATCGCTGTTTTTTGCAAGTCAAGCCTCAAGACGCTCAGCTCAAAAAAATACCGAATTTGCAGTGGATCTTTATCAAGAGCTTTCCTTATCTCATAAGAACAACATTATATTTTCACCCCTTGGAATAACTTTGGTTCTTGAGATGGTACAACTGGGAGCCAAAGGAAAAGCACAGCAGCAGATAAGACAAACTTTAAAACAACAGGAAACCTCAGCTGGTGAGACCCTTACATCTCCTTACTTATACTGGATAAGATATGGACACATTCATTTTTTAATATTAGAAGTTCAGGATAAAAAAACTTTAATAAGTGAAAATGTAATGAAAAGTAGAAAATTGTAATAAAATGGAGAATTGTAAATGTCATTTTCATTTGTTTAGAATTATTTCCTCTAAAAAGTTACAAAAATTATTGAGAAATTGACATCTGTGTAAATGTAAAATTAAGTATATATTTGTACATTTTCTTCTGGTTTGTTTTAGCCAGTTTTAATTACTTGAGATTATATTGGGTGTGCATATGTGTGTGTATGTACTTAGTCATAAAATATACATCTATATACATACATATTATTTCACTATCACTATGTTGTGATCATTTTCCCATGTCATGGAACTGATTCAAAATACAATTTTAATTACTGTATCTTATTAGAAATACCATTACTTATTTAGCCTTTCTTCAGTAGGTTGTCTCCAACATTTCTTTTTTAAAAAATGCACCTTATCTGTAACAAGACCAAGAAAAAACATTAATTTGTTCATTCTAAAAGCTTGTTAGTAGTTTTAAAAGGAAAATGGAAAAAAAAGGATTTAAATCATCAGAGGCCTTTGTGCTTGTGAATGCTGGTTGTTTTGTTGGAGTCTCCTCATGGTGTGTCTGGGATAGTGTCTATCCCTCTTACTGGGATACTGTGCTTTTGTGCTGGCATCCCATTTGAAAGAATTGTTGCTCCGCTGGCTTGGTGGCTCACACCTGTAATCTCGGCACTTTGGGAGGCTGATGCGGTGGATCACTTGAGGTCAGGAATTCGAGACCAGGTTGGCCAATGTGGTGAAACCTCATCTCTACTAGAAATGCAAAAATTTGCAGGGCATGGTGGCGTGTGCCTATAGTCTCAGCTACTCGAGAGACTGAGGCTGGAGAAGTGCTTCAAACCAGGAGGCAGAAGTTGCAGTGAGCTGAGATCGTGCCACTGCACTCCAGCCGGGCAACACAACAGACTCCATCTCAAAAAAAAAAAAAAAAAGTTGTTGCTCATCTCCTTAGCTATCTCATCCTCTCAGTTTCTGTAGTTGTTTTAATTTTCAGCTTTTGGATTACTCTGAGATACTGTGTTCTAAATATAGATTTTTGATTTGGGAATTTAGTTGCTACAACTATAATTTCAGTATATTTTTCTTGTCACAGAGTAGCTGTATTTATAAATTTGCTTTCCTGAAAATACTATTTACAAGATTTTATTTGCTTCATTTTAAATAAAGACAATTTTATACAGAAAAGAAGTTGGTGATAGTGAAGTGAATTGTAAGAATTTTTCTTTGCAAATAGTGCATACTGAAGTCAATGTATTCCAGATTTAACTTGATTAATTTCAGCAAATCCCACTACACCCACTCCCAGAAATGTTTAAATTACATGCTATAGCTTTGAAAAAGTAATACAATATTTGTGAAGATACATAAATTAGAGTCTGTGGAAACTAAATGACTTTAAATGGATACATCATATAGAGAAACACAGAAGTTTTAACAAGTGTGAATTGTGAACATGATAAAGTAATAATAATAATGCACTGTCAAAAATATAGATAGCATATCAGCCACTGCTTCATGCGCTTAATGTATATTCTCTCATTTAATATTTATAGTTAGTTTGTTAAACAACCTTCTAATAAACCTCAGAAAATTGAGGCAAAGAAAGGTTAAATAATTTTGCTCAGCGCTAATTCCTAAAATAATTCAGTGACAATTAAGAATATAAGAGCAATATATTCTCATTAATACATTAATAAGAATATGAATCATTGTATATTATGTAAGACTCTCAGTGTCCTCAGGTCTTCTTCTTTACTTCATTGTCAAAACATCTGCTCTGAATTTACCACCTCCGTTTTGCTGAACATCTGTTAATACTCCCTTTTATTTTACCTCTGTTAGTGCTGATGACGAATGAAAGGCAAAATGGAAGGTGCTTCTTTTTTCCACAGGGTTTTGAAAAGAGAACGGGACATGAATTCCTGTCCCAGTTCTGCAACTAAATGACTTTGTGATTTGGCACAAGTAATGCCACTTGTGAAGCTTCTTAATCTCTCTGGGCCTCAGATTCCTCACTGTAAAAAGAAAAGTTGAGGTTAGGTAATTTATTTGGACCTTCTGGCTGAAATAATCTATAATTCTATGACTACCTTGGTTTTCATCTTTGGATCTCCCATATGCACACAAAATTGGCTTTTAGACTTTTACTAGTAGAAGAGAACATGCACTGAATTTTAGAACATTTTCTGGAGGTCTGGTACAATCAAATCAAGAGCCACATTCACCCATGACCTGTGGGTTATCCATGGCTCTATTTTAGAAAATGAAATAAACTTGTTCTCATTACTTATTAGGAAATATATATATACACACACACACATACACATATATATATACACATACATACACATATATACATATGTGTATATATACATTCTTTTTTGATCTGTGCTAAAAATATCATTAATCTAGAAACCAAATAAAATTTATAGGGCAGATAATGTTATATTCTTCTCCAAACTTGTACTGCTTGGTGACCTTTTTTTCATTGACTTCTGAGTTCCACGATTTATCAAAGGGCAGCTGTTTGTCACATAGACTTAGACCTTAAGTACATGACATAAATCTGTTTGCTTTGACAAATGATTTGGAACTCCTTTTTCTCCCCTTATTTTTTTTTTATTCCTTTAAAAATGTTCATGTATTTCAGATTTCTGAAAATGAGTTTCAGATTCTGTCACTTCATTTCTGACCTTATTAATTCTTTTGGAAAAGCTCTCATGTCTTTACTCAGAAAGGCTTTTCTGGAGCCGCCTAGCGATGGAGATATTTGTTTCAGGCTTCAAATAGCAATAAATGGTTACATCTGAAATCATTACATACATCGTAAAATGGCTTCACTTTCTTCCCTTCCTAATGTAAGGAATTTCAGGGTTATAAAGAATTACTGAAATTCTTCAGATCTAATCATATGGAAGCAAGTTTATATCTGAAATTGTTTATACCTGTGTCTATATACTAGTTAACAGAGAATCCTGGAGTTTGAAATATAATGTAATATACTTCATAAAGCCTCCTGTGAGATTGTGAGAATGCCAGGCAAAAAAGGCAAGTAGGGACTGAAATGTAGTCTCTACCCAGCTGGACAAGATGAGAGGCCATGGAGCTGCCCAGCCCCCAGAGAGGGAACTATTTTTATTTGCATAAAGATGCCCTATGGGCTGCTAGCTTTCTGATTTTAAAAAAAAAAAAAATGTATTTACACAAGCATAGGTACACACACACACATCCTCATTATTTCCAATAGAAATCTAGTAGTAAATCCCTCTTAGTAATACCCAGTTTTCTTGAATAAAGATTAATTGAATATATCAACTTCTACGTTATGAAAGTGGCATTTGCAGTATTTAACTGAAAATATAATGAAGGCCCTGAAAGAACCTGTTTGAAATAGAGTTACAAGACTTAATGATTGAGTTCTAAGATTAAGCCAGAAGGAAATGAAAACTGTCAGTACACTTTGGCAATGAACAGGAAGCTATTGAACCAAATATCAGGGTAGACTTCTCTCATAGGCATATATAGCTTCCGGACAACACGGCAGTCAGAACAGTCCAAAAATAAATAATAGGCCTAAAGTGATTATTTCAGTTGACTCTGACTGACTTATTTTGGCTAGTGGTTAGAGTTAAAATGGTTAAAGATTTTTATGGTTGATGTCGACAGCCAAAGTATATAAATTCATGAATTGTAGAAATAGGCAATTCTGATTCTTACGCATCTCTAGAGATGATTACAGAGGTTGCCTTGTAAATTTTAAAACCTGTACAGGTGCAGTTGCTTATAAGAGAACAATTTTTTTCTTCAGCTGAAATAAAAGTAATATTGAAAAGGATTGCTCATCACTGTCATATCCCCATCAGCATTCATTAGCATTCCCTTTTCATAGGAATCACATGCTCATGTTATGCAAAGAATAAGATTCTAAACATAAACTTCAACAACTAAAAATGAGCTAAATGTGACTATCAAGAGGGACTTCCCTTCAGCTTCTATAAATGCATATTCTTGTTTTTGACAAATTTCAAATTTACATGGACATTCTTTTTTCCATATAAAAGATGATTTCTCTACAAAATGCATATTCTACAGGAGATACATCCTTAAAATATTTATACTAATTTTGAAGGGATTATTAGTTATACCTAAGGGTGCAAAAAAAATAGTGATATGAATCAGAGTGCTTAGATAGCAAAGCTGAAAATCTGTTGTTTTTGTGTTGTTCAATATGCCAACATATATTAAAATTATTTTCTAGGGGAAGAATTTTTTGTACTGAAGTCATTTTTCTCTGCCATCTCAGAGAAAAAACAGGAATTTACATTTAATCTTGCCAATGCCCTCTACCTTCAAGAAGGATTCACTGTGAAAGAACAGTATCTCCATGGCAACAAGGAATTTTTTCAGAGTGCTATAAAACTGGTGGATTTTCAAGATGCAAAGGCTTGTGCAGAGATGATAAGTACCTGGGTAGAAAGAAAAACAGATGGTAAAGTTTCCCATTTTTGTAAAATTATTATTTGCCATTGTATTCATGGTTTTTAATATCCTAAAGTAAAGAATGGCTGAATATTTTCCTACTGCACTATGGATCAGAGGAATCAAATGTCCTATTTCATTTCATTGTTATTTAAATTAATATTAAATTATAAAACTGGAAAGAAATTGTAAGCTGCTTTGAAAAGTATACTGATTCTTTTATTTTATTTTTAGGGATACTTGCTTATAGACTTTTTAATGAAATAATTTTAATAATAATTTTTGTTAAAACCTAGATTTTTCAGGTATAAAAGCAGAAATAATCTCTTTGGCTAGGTAGAAGTTAAATCTGTCAATCCCAAATGGCTTCTTTCCCACAGATGCTGAAAACGATTAACACATTTTAGTTGAATGTGTTAATATTTAATAATAAATGTTAATAGTTCTATCATAAACATGGTAGTCTAAACTTTAAAGGCAAGCTAGCAAAAATTTCATAGTTGACTACAGAGGGATATAGTTAATTTAAATTCATACAAATCTCAGTTGAAATCTTGGAAAGTTATAAGCTATGCTCCATTTAAAATGAAGATATTATTAAAACATTTCAGAATTCTTTGGAATTTTAATAATAATGTATGTGAAGTGACAAGCATATACCAAGCCCTCAATTAATAGTACTTTGTTTCTTCATTTAATCAGCTACGAAAACTGTTGTTATAAGACATATGCCTTATAGGAAGCCTTATATGGGGAAGCATAAGTTGAAAGTGTGAGATAAGTGTGGTGAGTCATGTTCACAGCTGTAGGAAATGAGGACATCACTAGACAGCTCCATGGCACCCAGTCATGCCTATTTCTCATAACTTGGAAAAACTCACTGGACATAGAAGTAGGAGATCGGTTATTTGGAGGAAAATAATCATGCTAGTAACCTCCATTCTCTTCCCTTTCCAATGGTCAGTGGACGCAGCTGTCAGAGTGGCAAGTTTGAGTGTACCATTAACTTACTTATGATGACTGACATGTTAGAAGACCTTGAAATAGACAGAATAATAACAGTAAATATGGAAGAAGAAATATCTTTATTCTTTATGTCTGACATACAATGGTTACAAATGATCTTACTGAAGAGAGTCTATGTATATCTAAGTTTGCCTAAAACAGTCTCATATTTCTAATTTCATAGTGAAATTCCATTTGCACCTGTTTCTTCATGAAATATTTAATAGCAATCCTGTTTATTCTCAAATTTACCATATTTAGATGATAACATGCCCTATCCAAAACTGATATGCAAAAGACACTTTTGCTTTAATTCTATTCAAAGCGATTCCACTGAATCACTATTGCACATTTCTTCTTACCTCCTCCTCCACCCACTTCCTAGGAAAAATTAAAGACATGTTTTCAGGGGAAGAATTTGGCCCTCTGACTCGGCTTGTCCTGGTGAATGCTATTTATTTCAAAGGAGATTGGAAACAGAAATTCAGAAAAGAGGACACACAGCTGATAAATTTTACTAAGAAAAATGGTTCAACTGTCAAAATTCCAATGATGAAGGCTCTTCTGAGAACAAAATATGGTAATGTGAGAAACCACAGTTCCTAAGCATAGTCTTGAGAATTGCCAAGTATATTTGATATTTTATTTTGTCTATTCCAGGTTATTTTTCTGAATCTTCTGTGAACTACCAAGTTTTAGAATTATCTTATAAAGGTGATGAATTTAGCTTAATTACCATACTTCCTGCAGAAGGTATGGATATAGAAGAAGTGGAAAAACTTATCACTGCTCAGCAAATCCTAAAATGGCTCTCTGAGATGCAAGAAGAGGAAGTGGAAATAAGCCTCCCTAGGTTGGTGATGTTATTTTATTATACGAGTTCTTACGTTTCCACTTACGTAGGAATTTGAGCAGTCAGCTGAAAGGTAGCAAATACTTGAAAAGTCTATTGACGCAAATGAAAATACAAATGCATTTGGAAATTTCACTCTACTTTTGGATACTAAAGCAGGGCTTACCTGTGCTAGCATTGCTTTACTGTGAGAAGAACTGAATTTAAGGGCTTAGTTTTCTCTGAAAAAGATAAGTCTATGTCTTAAAATTAGAATATTGGGATTAGAAGGAATTATTGTCTTTTTATTATGCTAATTTATCTTTCTCCACTTTTTTCCTGATTGGAATTTTTAATATTTATCTCTTATTAAGAAAAAATAATTATAATGGTGTGTTTTATACAATTGAAAGATATGTCATATCACTTTGATAGATAGTGCTCTAATCATTGAATTATAAACAGAATCCTATAGTCAATTTTAGGTAGTTAGTACAAAATGAAAATTGCAAAGAGTTATCTCAGGAGGCAGTAATTATGAGCTAATTTTTTAACATCATGCGTCTAAGGGACAGGAGAAAATTCAAAGAGAAAGTTGTGCCCAAATGACTCAATTCACACTCTACCCAAGCTTTTAAAAAGAGATTTATGTCTAATAGGTTATATACTGTCGTTTTATTTCTAAATTTTCTTTCAGACTCATCAATCCCTAATTATTTTGTGCTCCCCTGTTTCTGGCCATTGGTCTCTTAAACCTCTTGGTTTTTACTTCCTTTTCCAGTAAGCCAGGATCTAGTCATTAGTTATTTCAATCATAGTCTCATTAACATTTTTAGCGTTTTTGCCTCCTTGTCTTTATCCCTTTCCTAATTCTCTTCTCAATTATCCTCAATTCTGAGTACACTCAAGAAGCCACTCCTGGCCAGGCATGGTGGTTTATGACTGTAATCCCAGCACTTTGGGAGGCTGAGGCGGGCAGATCATCTGAGGTCAGGATTTCGAGACCAGACTGGCCAATGTGGTAAAATTCTGTCTTTACTAAAAATATAAAAATTAGCTGGGCATGGTGGCGGGTGCCTGTAATCCCAGCTACTTGGGAGGCTGAGGCAGGAGAATCAATTGAACATGGAGGTTTGCAGTGAAAGCCACTCCTGTTCTTCAACTACTGCAACTACTGCAACTGTTGATTTTGTTGGAGCAAAAACCTGGAGAGGAGTAACTTCTGGCCTCACCAAGACTAGAGCTCAGCACTCCTTGCTTACTCTTGAGAACTTTCTTTACTCCTACCCACACCATACCAGGACATTACTTCTCTCCTTCACTTACTACTCTAGGTTGATTTTTCTTACTTCCATCAAGTGTGCCAGTCTCCTATATCCTAAAGAAAACCTATTATCAGGTAAACTTTCTCCTTTTTATTTATAGAAGTCATCTCAAATTTTATGTAAATCTTTATTAATCTTTACCTTCTTTGATATTGTGGAGAAAGAAGTATCCTCTACTTGTCACATCCTAACTCTGGGATCTTGATCAAAGTATTATTAAGCATCCCTTTTTTTCTAGAAAAGCTTTCTTCCTTTAGTCCCCAGGACACTACTGATTTATTTCTTTCTCTCTTTCTGGAAATTTTCCTTGCTCCTTGACTTACTTTTATTTTGTTTCTGTTCCCAGGCAAAAATGTTATCAGTTTCATCTTCAGAATTTTCCTCTTCTTACTCTCTCTGAGAAATATTATTTATCCCCTGTTATTCTGGTTTTTAAAATCTGAATCTCTAACCCCAACTTCTCTTTCATTTCCCAGCCATTTGAATATCTCTACTTGACATTATTCTTTTTTTCAAAGAATTTTTTTAGCACCTACTGTGCCAAACACTGGAGTTTAATGGTGTGTATGACAGATTGTTTACCTTCTAATAATGAAATAATATTTTTTGAAATTAAATTGTTTATTTTCAAATTTGCTTCTCTTAGCTTTGAAATTATCACTTTCTTGGAGACAAAAATGAAATTACTGAGTTTGAAAACTGTCTGTGACATGTACCACCAGTGGGGTCTCAGGAGAGTCACTTGACCATTTTGAGTTGCGGTTTTGTCAATTTAAAATGTGGATAATGATACTGATTGCCAGATTTTTCAGTCTAAATAATAATGCATAAGCCCCAACCTCAATTGACAAGAAGAAATACAAGCTTTCACCAGAATTTCCTTTGACAGCATTTTTAGGAATCCTTAGCGGAATGTTTCACAGTCCAAAAATCTGTCCAAGCTGCCACAGTGTAGACAACTTCGAACTGTTTGGCCTTATTCTCAGCATCTCCACTCCAGGGCCACACTTCCCATACAACTACTCCCACAGTGTAGACAACTTTGAACTGTTTGGCCCTATTCTCAGCATCTCCACACAGGGCCACACTCCACACTTCCCATACAACTACTCTCACATTGTAGACACAGACTTCTCTCTTAATTCTTCCAAGCACAACTGTTATGGGTTGAGTTGCATCCCCCCACCCAGTAACTTAGAATGTTGCCTTATTTGGAGACAAGGTTTTTACAGAGTAATGAAAGTGAAGTCATTAGGCCGGGCTGTAATCCAACATGACTAGTGTCATCTAAAAAGGAAAATTTAGACAGAGATATACATGGAGGGAAGATGATGTGAAGAGACACAGGGGAAAAAATGGTCATCTACAAATCAACGAGACGCATAGAATAAATTTTTCACTTACAGCCTTCTGAAGAATCCAATACCGCTGACATCTTGATTTTAGACCTCTAGCCTCTGCAAGTGTGAGACAATCTATTTGTGATTTAAGATACCCAGTTTGTGGTACTTTGTTATGGCAGCCCTAGCAAACTAATACAAGAAGAACGACTTCAATGTTTAAGCAAATTTTACTGAAATCTTGGTGATAGTGAAAGGGGCTTGCAACATAGAAAGCAATTTAAAACCAGGTACCAATCATGATAGGTCCTTGAGTGTAGACTATTTCTTGTACCAAAGAGTCCCCTTCTGTCCGTTGTTATATTTAGCCTACCATTGCAACGGTACTAGCACCCACCTTCACCCAAAAGAGTTATCTTTACACCTCCCTCCTATTCAGCATTCAGAGTCCTTCACCATTTCCCCGTATAAAGAGAAAGTGACCCAGATTTTCTTCCATGCTCTCTAAGGCCAGTTTCCCAGTTGTGACAAGAATCTATAGTTGCCAGGTGTGGTGGCTTATGCCTGTAATCCCAGCACTTTGGGAGGCCAAGGCAGGAGGATCTCTTGAGCCCAGGAGTGCAAGACCAGCAGGAACAACAAAGAAAGACCCTGTCTTTAGGAAAAAAAAAAAAAACAAAAAAACATCGGTTGGACATGGTGGTGTGTGCCTGTAGTCCCAGCTACTGTGGAGGATAAGGCAGGAGGATCGCTTGAGCCCATGAGTTTGAGGCTTCAGTGAGCTGTGATCCTGCCACTGTACTCTAGCCTGGGCAGCAAAGCAAGACCCTATCTCAAAAAACAAACAAAAAAAATCTATAGCAGAGATTTCAGTGAAAACAATGTTTTCATATCATATAAAATAGCTTATGCCCTCATCATCTCAAACTCCATCTCCCTCCCACTGGTTCTGCTTGCAAAATGAAAAAGCCCATTGTATTGCTTTCCCCAAACAAAAGAACAATTTGCCTTAAAACCTGAATTTGAATCTTCATTTATATAGAAACAGAAACAATAGTTGGCAGTTGTATCCCCCTTTTCCATACAAATTCCAGCCACCAATGATATTTAAAAACTTGGCAGTTTCAGTTACAGTATCTCATTACATACTTCTATTCATAGCACAAAGTCTGGCAACTAGAAGGTGCTAAATAAATGACAGCTTTATTTTATTTTTTTCTTTGTTAAGAAGATCACTGCCTAGTCAGTACCAAACTAGAAACAATGTCTTCTCTGAATTCTCTGACTCCACTCCTTTCTCTTCTGTGTGGCAGGCCCTTCTCTGTGGTGTCTGACCAATGACTTCCCATTAATCCTCCATGGTTTCCCTTGAAGTTATTGCTTCCATGTAGATATACTCAAATATGCCTAGTTAGAGTGAACCATTCCTTACCTACATTTCTAGAACATTTCAGGAAAATTTACATCATAGCACTTGTTACACAGCATTTTTATTTCTTGCTCACATTCCTGTCTGTCCTATTAAAATGTGATTTCTGGGACAGCGGGTTAGGTCTTGTTCATTTTAGTTTCTGTTGTTCCTAGCATGCTTCATGGTATATAGTATGTGCTAAATGAGTATTACTGAGTTAAAGTACACAAATAATTTCAAGGAAAGAAATTCTATATTATTTCTCTTTATTTAATTTTAAATATCTTCAAAACCAGAATTCAACTTTCCAGTCACTCTAATTTATTCTCTTTGAGGACCCTGAATGAAGCTTTCCCACCTTTCCATACATATGGCATCATGAAAAATAGGACATTAGACATTTACTTCAAAACTTCTCTCTAGAAAAGGAAAAGTGAGATTTTTTTTCTAAATTCAGAGGACAGAAATTTGTTATTGTTTAATCACATTAATACAGAATTACATGTAAAATGTGTTCATTTTTTACTAAATTAATGTCTTCTGATTTGTTAAAGGAACAATTTGCTTATGTATTTAGTTCATTAACAATTTTAACTTATCAGAACACGTTTATGAATTAAGTTTCCTGAGCACTAAAATCATGGATTAAAAATTCTGAAATACATTTCTCCCAAAAGGAACAATTTCCTCACAACAGAAAAATACCTGTTTAAAATAAGTGTTTGGTGGAGAAGAGAGAAAACAATGTAGGCTCAATAAATGTTTGGGGTAGACTGGCAGATTTATATTTTATTACTGAATACTGTGGTTCTTTTACATCTGAATAAATGTGTAATGGCTTTCAAACTAATAACTAAATATTTTGATAAAATTGGAACAGCTTAATCAACTTCATTAATTCCTAGAGCTGCTATAACAGCACAACACAATAGAGTAGGTGGCTTA